GCATAATCTATTTCGGTGAATTATAAGCATATTGATTTTCCAGCGATAAGAATGTACGACACTCACTATTTGAGATCGCCCGGTCCGAGATAGACAAATCCGAGATATGCAAATCCGAGGCATACGTATTCGGTTAATTATACTACTTTTACATGAAAAAAGTAAATGAATGACTGTCAGGTAGGTATGTATTTATATTACGATTGAAAATATATCAATAACGATTTATATATAATACACGATGCACTTTCTGTGAAAGATACATGTATGTTATACGCATTCATTACCGAACATAGACTAAGGCTAAAAAATACAAATTCCAAATATGGGTAGACTTTATTTAATTATCAAAAAAGTGCCAAACTTCGAGACCATGTCTACTCAGTCACGGTCGAGTTATATCATCATCACGTGGCACAACATTTTTATCCGGAATTCTGCGGAGCGGGGCTTAAAGGCCTAAGTTTGCCTAGTATTTTTCCTAACCTGTAATGCTACATATTTGATATTTTCCGAACTTAAATTTGAAATCGATGGTGCAGTAAACGTTATTATTCGTTAGATATATGTCATCCTTTGAACTTTGTCTCCAACAATACGAAAAAAAGATCATAGACTTTCTGTTTTCATATATACAAAGATCACATGAGATATAGCCAAAATATCGTGTGAAGTTTAGCCCAGGACTTATAGCAACGAAATCTTTTAGTAAAATGATTTCCATACAACCGTTATTTCTTAAGTAAATTAGCGAATAACATGTCCGTAATATATAAAATTATATACTCTATTTTAACTACTGAACGTCCCTCCGAGATTCTTAATGTAGCAAACATGAATTAGAAATAACTTAATTAATATGAAAATCAAGCGATTTAAAATCAAGTACCCAATAAGTAATTTATCTTATAAACAGGAATTTGCCACTGCCATCGCGTTATTCAGCACAGACGTTACAGTCATTTCGGGTGTCATTTTAATTTTAACGACCCATTGTTCTACATTACTGAAGATAGGGGACATACGTTTAACTGCCTGAAAGGCCTCAAGATCGTTTCCGATTTTTTTCTTGGGCGTTATATACCTTTGGTAACTGAAGGCATCATATATATCATCCGGCACAATAAAACATAAAAAAATTTTTGCCTTCGGATTCTTCTTATATGCCGGCATATTTTGAACTACGTTAATCAATTCACTTTGCTTCACGGGGTGTTTTGGAGACACGGTAATTTGAAAGATACAATACGGAGTAAGAATTAAATCTATCGCACCGAAATTTCTTATGGTTGGTTTGATAATTATGCCTTCCTGGTTATGCCTTGTGAGCTGGCTTGCATATCGGATGTACATTGTAGTTGGTTTTGTTGGTATAGTTAATTCATCGTAAATGACTGGATCATTCTAATAATGAAAAAGGCCATGGTTAATAGTTTCTCAATTATTATCGAAAACGATTATGCAAGATTTTACCTCGTTTTCTCTAAGTCTCCTCGATTCAAACGTTTGACCACCGAGCTTGAAGAGATGGAGTACGTGTGACTCAAACATAATCCCCCTAGAGCTGGAAGGGTCATCAGGATCTTGAATTTTTAGAAATAGATTTCCCCATCTACTATCCTCCAGTTTTTTCTGGATTTTATCAAAAATACGACCAGAAGCCCATGAGAGGGAACGTTCTTGGTAAAAAGTGTCTGGCCACCGATGAATAAGGCGACTGCTGAATTCAACATATTGGGCATTTTCAGAGAAGCACTGTACAAGCTTTCTGATATCACTGATTTCCAGAAGGGCTTCTTTTACGCGTTTTAAAGAAATTTGCTTAATCATATTAATCATATCCTGATCCTCGAGATTGGGATTTTTCAGACGAATAATAGATGCTGGTATCCGAAGAACATATCTTGGCACACCACCTGCTTCGTCACTGAGGTCAAGCATTAAATCTTGTGGTATCATCGGAAAGACACTTAGTCGGCAGGCTTCCAACTCTTCTAATGACCATGGTGGCACGCAAAATACACTCACAAGATTTTTAACAAAATCTTGAAATCTATTGTCTTTGATACTTTTTGATGATGCAGAAACAACTGTTTTTGCTATGACATCCTCGGGAACTGTACCGTCTACCAAGTACCATGTTTTGGAGTTATAGAGTTGCTCCGAAAATTCCTCAGAGTCTCCAACAGAGAGATTAGAATCCTTGAAACAGTATAATAAATTGCCACTGGCTGGCTTAAAAATGACCGTGGCATCGGTTTTATTGCACAAAAGTCGGATTAATAGGTAAATCAGGAAACACGATTTACCAACACCTGATGTGCCAGTTATGAGAAACTTGAGGTCGCAATCCTCATCATTCTCATTAGTAACTATGTGATATAGATCCCTGTAAGATTCCCGTACATATAGCACAGGTTCCTTAATTACTGCAAGCGGTTTTCTGTTAGGGTGCTGGATTAGATTTGAAGTTAACTCTTCCTGCTCTATTTCTTGTTCCTCCGACATTGTTTCGATGTCATCTCGTAAACTTTCTGGGAGTGTTTTCCTGAGATTAAGGACCACATCTAATATATTTGTAAACAACGGATCTGAAAGAGCAAATTAAGAAAGTCGTTAGTGGATTATAAAGTATCCTAGTCCACATAAAATTTCGACAGCTCGCTTATGCTAACTCCTCGGTGGCGAAAACTTACTCCCTAATTTTTGTTTCTTAGTGGGTCTACCTGGATCAACAGGAATGAAAAAGCAATAATAATAAGGAAAGGAATGATAACGAGAAAAATAGCCTACACGTTAAAAAGTGACGAATCATTTACCAGCAACGGGTTGATCTACGATAACGCGGATGTGTTTTTTGGGCGGGTTTGACGATAAGAAGCAGGAAAGAAAAGCACAAGAATAAGTAAGTATTCGGTATTATTGGCAAATATGACAGAAAACGAGAGTTTAAGCAACATTATCTTAGAATGTACCAGGTGGAGAGATTAGAGACCTCAAATAAGTACGTTTATCTTTATCTGTATCAAAATCATCAAGACAGGATACTGCAACAGCAATTTTTTGCACATTTTCGGTAAAGTGAGAGAGTAAACTTATTTTTTCGCCTGAAACAAACCCAAGACGATTGATTTCTCCTTTTAGAATTGATAGTGGGTTTGAATCAGACATGTTTTGGATGATTAGCAACTGGCTTTTTTATTCGAAATCTTATTGGAAGAAGTGTGACAGGCTTTTCACAGTAAAGTTACGCAAGTCACATGGAAAAATAGAATCAAAAATCTTTTATTATTTATGCTCGGAGTGTCGCAGTAAAGTTATTGGATTTCACTTCGCTTTTAAAATTTGGGCAATTACATAATAGACAAATCTGCAAGCCTTTTTGCTGGCCCCAAATGAGATATACACACAATTATATATGAAAAAAGTTTATCGCGCATCTTCATTACGTCTACTGTATATTAAAATACATAGAGCAAAGTTAACGGAAAAATTATTCAAAAATTAGGTTGCACACACGAATAGCATGCTAAATTTATTTTTATTGTATACTTAAATGATGACCGAGTGGCCTTTGACCCTCTAATTTATGCCTTAACATTTACTATCGGGATTCCACTAAAAGTTCTATTACGACAATAGAGACGATAAGTTTTTTCGCCACAGTAATTGCTATCACCCCACCGATCTTCCACATCATATCCTTTATGCTCTTCATTACATGTTGGACATGTTCCTGAATAATCATAATAATCGCTATATTTATTGCTACGTTTTAAAAATAAATTATTGAATTGCTCCAATGTGGTATGAATAACAAGATTTCGTTTTTCTTCTGGATCATTAGGTAATATAGAAATTGAAAGTCGGGATTCATTGAATGAATTTTTATTTATAGGTATTATATTTACCTTTGTTTCTGATGAAACTTTTTCAGATAGTGCACTTATCTCAATCATATTATCTTCAAAAGATACTTCAGGTGTGATTTCAAGCGAAGGAGAATTAGAGATTTAGCTCCCTAAATTATAATTAATAATCTCTTAAATTTGGTCGTTAGTAAATTCTGAGATAGAATTTGTACTATAATTCTTAATATGTTTAATTTTATCTAGATCTATCTTTTCGAATAACTTATAAATTTTTACAGCTCTTTGAGTTTTTTTGTGCAAGGTATCTCATAGTATATTTGGAAGTTGTAAGTTCAAATCTTGTGATCATTTTTTACAAAGAATAAAGAGTTGATTTTCAATTTCATTATAAATTAAGATTCTTGCTTTTTTCTTGTCAATTTTATTTTTATTACTCATCTCACCAATCTGAAATTCAAAATTCCTATCATAAAGAGACCAGCACATGATTTCTTCCTGATTAATCTTCAAAGCTTGATCTTCTGCATCTATAATTATATCACACAACTGAGCTAAATGTTGTAATACCTCTATGAATTAACGATACACTTTGCAGAATCATTTATGCTCTCAAATTTTTCGGGACGGGCTGTCTTAGAAATTTTGATCTGTCCTGGTTTAATATTTTTTTATATAAAGTAATCTTGTGAATTCAGCTTTAAAGAAGTATTGAACAATTCTTGCCAGAGTTTATCTGTTCTTTTTTCTTATAACTAATCAAAGATAGGTTTTGATTTCAAAACTTTTTCTCATGTTTTCTTTGCCTGATCTTATTGCTAACTCTTTTTTTAGGTATCACACCCATAAATTCATCAATCACTTTATTTTCTGAAGATTTAGACTTCATATAAATAGATGATTCAAAGTATTGAATATTCATCTTCTGATATATATCAGAATTAAAAATATTATTAAATATTGTTATCATTCTTATCAAAAATTTTGTAATTAATCAATAAAAATTAAGATATATTACAAAGAATCATCAGCAAATTTCTGATACAGTTGGAAATCGATTACCAACCATATTCATTGGCAATCGATTACCAACACCCCCACCGATTATTATCAATTGTTGATCAATCGATAATAATCAGTTTTTTTATTATCGTTTACAAACGATAGCAATCGTTTGTAAACGATAGAAAATGATAGGAAACGATTTCTATCGTTTGTAAACAATAATAAAAAAACTGATTATTATCGATTGATCAACAATCGATAATAATTGGTGGAGGTGTTGGTAATCGATTGCCAATGAATATGGTTGACAATCGATTTCCAACCGTATCAGAAATTTGCTGATGGTTTTGCTTTAAATAATGTTGTTTCTTTTTTTGAATGAGTTTAATCTGTATTGATATGCTTTTTTGAAAGAGTTTTTGCTGCTTCTAAAATTGTTTTTTTAAGTGTATTTCAACTAATATTAAGATTATATTAAGTTATGATCTCTTGAGCTTGTTTATTTTGGTGAAGAATATTATCTATTTTTTCTTTGTATTTTTTCATTTATTTTTTTGAGATTGAAAATCATTTTGTGATATTTAATTCTTTTATAATTTTTTTGTTGTCCTAAGAGAT